CTGCGGCTCCTGCCAACCCCACTCCACCTGCAAACGTCGAACACTGACATTCAATACACAATACATAGACAATTCAGGTAAAAAATTAGTAAAATATATTAAGAAATACATTACATGCATATCGAATGATTTATTTATCCCGCTTATTGAGTATTTCCTTGTTGCGAATGTAAAATCCTTGGTGAACAGTAAAGTCGTGCGGTGCAGTGAAGGCATACCTTGCAGCTGGGCGGGTGTAAGTACTTTCCGGTGACGTACTGCAGCAGCGAGTGCTTGGCCTCGGGCGTCAGCGAGGGCTGCGTCATCGCCGCCAGCGTCACCAGCCCGCACACCGACACCGACACCACCAGCATGCCGCCTGTCGGTGCATCGACACACCGACATCAACAGATAACATTATCCAATTAACTGACACACTTTACTAGGTTCTTCCCGAGTAGTTAGTAATCCTCACCCCATGTCCAGGCGTCCTGATGCTTGCTATTCTTAACGACAGTACTCCAGAGGTCTGCCTTAAGGCTGACCAGGGCCTCCTTGCCAGTAGGTAAGCTCTGGCGGGCGGCACACCACGCGCTGAAGTCCTTGGGGTCGATCACGTGGCGCGCCGTGGAGTCCTCCAACCAGTACACGTCTTCAAGCGAGCATACGTCTAGACTAAGCAGTCTGCAACATCACATTATGAAAGATAAGTTCCACACGGAATTAATAAACACATTTATGCTTGAAGTAAAGTTAGTTAATCCGCGAAATATAATACTGATAATGGATTTTACATTATTTTTTTTCCAGTAGATTATGTTTAATTTAAGATAAAAACCAGTGGCATTTTAAAAAAGAATTTCCAGCAGACAAATGTAACGTTTCGCTTTTCCTTTTATGTTTGTGTTTGGTTTAACGTGCATGTTGCATAGCACGCGGCCTTACGTTGCGCCGCGGAGACTGGGGGCTTTGTCACGTCTGCAAACAACATAAAGCTGCCTGTACACTAACCAACACCAACACATTTTTATCTTTACATGTTAAAATGATTTTTATTTTATTCCTATCCTATGTAATCACAACGAAAATAATTAAATGTATTACAAATTATAACTTAAGTAGAAATACAAGTTTCCACTGCAAGCAATACCACCTCAGCACTAATTACTGTACGTTGCTACGCTCGTAGCTCGTAGCTACTTCAGAATAACTTGAATCGAAAATAGAATCGAGCAATTATTTCATTTAAAATGTATCAAATCCGTAATTTAACTATTTGGATAATTAGACACTAGTAATATTTGCATTTTACAAAATCGAGACAGCAAACGTCTTCTGCTGAGCACTATACTGTCGTAGACAATCTGGATTGGTTAATCGAAGATATTTAAACAAGTTAAAATTTCTATATAATGAAGAACGTATGTGTTAGAACAACATTGTGAAGCGAATTTGAACAGTACTTCGTAACTCATTTGGCAATGAACATATATTTTGTACGAGTATGAAATCTGCAGCAACTATATCCCAGGGGAAGAAACGTGGTTTGTATAATTTTCATTGTATTTAGGGTCTTCTTTTTATTTAGTTTCATTACTTCTTGTTATTTTATATGAATGTTACAATGACATTGTATAATATCATTATTTAAAGAAAAAGCAATCAACATAATATCTTACTAATCTTAGAAATAATTTACTTTTAACTAATAATATAAATGGGAAAGCTTATGTGGATGGAGGTTTCTTCGAATTTGTAGCCTAAACTACTGAACGGATCTCGATGAAATTTGGCATACATGTAGAGCATAGTCTGAAAAACACTTAGGCTACTTACTTTTTTTTTAAATCTATGCGGACGGAGTAGAGGGCGAAAGCTACTATAATAGACGTTATAAGTTTGGAATAACATTTTTTTAAAATGAATCGCGGCCCACTTGTAATTTCATTCGTAAATACAATTTCCGTTTGCCCGCCCGAGGTTTGCTGCCAACATCGTTTCCGACTGTAATCCTCTGCCGTATTTGTGTAAATACTTTATCATAACGCAGAAAATTCAATTTTCACTCGTGCTTTAGGTAAGTGAATATTGTGCTTTTTTTATTTCATGCGACTAAAGACTAAGATTGGGTCGAATACACGAGAAAAAAAGCAAGAAGAAGCAGAAGAGATATATAAAATAACTCATTTATCTACAAAAATGTTAGGTCTAAAGAATATTATTTATCTTTGGCAAGATCTGATAGCATAAAAATCAACATTTTATTTTAATTCAAGCGATAAATTGATAAAAACCACAATTTTGTTACGAGATTTAGGTGACCGCATTATGTCGCTTCGTGTATGGGCAGCTTTATTCAATTTGAATACGTTAGCAATGTGTGTCTGCGGGCTGTGGGCAGGGCGGGGACAAAGGCACTCGAGACCAGCTAAAGGAAATGCGGGACGCAAGACAAGAACAAACACGTAACATCTTACTAAAATAATTATACGAAAGTTTGCATGGATGGATGTTTGTAACAGCGCTTAAATTGACTAAACGACTGCATGTTAGTCAAAAAGTAATGTAATTAAGACGTTATAGGTGCTCAATTCAGAAAGTTTTAACTCAACAGTCCAGTGAGACCCAGTTCTAAATTTAATTCCAGTCTGTATTATTATAGATTAGCGAATAAAATTACAGAAGAAAACTATTTTACCATTTACATTTTTTAACAGTTTCATTAACATAACTCGTTTTGATTAACATTCCGAGAGATTATGTAAATCAAGAATCGTCGACAGAGGGCAGGGCAGGGCAGGGCAGGGCAGGGCAGGGCAGGGCGGAATCCCGTGCGCACCGCGAACTCTCAAGCTTCGCAAATTCCATTTGAATAAACCTTTGCTATGCTAAGTGATACAACCATTCATTTTTATTTACACCTTAACACACAAAAGTCAAGAGTTTGAAAATTGTTGCAAATAATAAGTAAATCGTACTATTTGATGTTTGTTGCTGATATTTTATGGCTTTAATTTTGATCTTTCTTGGAATTTGTACTTATGTGACAGCTGATGAAATACTAACTATATTTATATTATCAAATTTGACAGGGACGGCGAACCTTTGGCTCGCGCCACTAATGTCACGCGATACAATATTTAATTCAAATAATCATAAAGTGAAAATTATTTGATAGCACGTTGACCTCATTAAGGATTGAATAAATTTCACGTTGATAAAGGTTTGCCTTCCCTGAAATGGGATTCAAAGATTCTTTTGTAACGTAGTGACGTCATCTGCCGTTTAGCGAGATTACAATGTCGTTGTGGCATTGTTGTGGTTGTATTGAGCACAATTGTGTAGCCTGCTGTGAAGGCAGCGCGGAGGGCGCTACTTCCGATGTTCCCTCGCTGTTATTCTACTTTCACACGAAGGTAGAACAGTTAAAACAATATTAAACTTGTGAGTCTTAAATAGGAATACTGCATTGTCTACTGCTCTGTTTGACTACTGTCCTCGTGTTAATCATGATCCAGGTCAGGTCAGATTTAGGAATACTTTTAATAGATTAAATTCGCTTGATACATTTGTTATACATGGCAAGTATTTTTAATTCACTTTTATTTAGCAATCTGCTCAAGTAATGACGTAAATAAAGACTCGAAAATTTCAATAAATTACTAAGAGTTGACGATCGAATTCAATCGATTGCTTCGACCGATTCAAGAGACGATGATAAAATAATGTTGATCCTGCTACTCTTTTCAAATTTGTCGTATATTACATAAAAAGCCTCGTTTTACAAAATACTTTATGCTACAAGGAGATTTCTTTATGTCTAGACTTAGCCAACATCCTGTCCTAGGACTTGAAAGGTGAAAGTTGACGCATTGCGGGGCGTAGGAGTGTATATCTCTGCGAATGCCAGGGACACGTCAAACATTATTTATGTTATTTAAATGTAACGCATTTAGTTCAAAAGCTACCTGCCTCTAAATCATTTAACAATAGCATAAGCAGTCCCTTAGTGTAGAACCGTACTCCCTATTCAATATGTGAGGAATTACATAACTCTTAAGAAAAGTGGTGTATAATTTATTCGGAGGTGCTTTCAAAGTTTTGCAATAAACAAATATTTGGCATACAAATAATTTGGACACAGATGTTAGGTTTTGTATAACATCGAAGTTCCCCAGAATTTGAGTTTCGCAGCAGTTTGTACTTTTATTAAAAACATGCAAAACTTTAGTGTGAGCATGCTGCGAATTTGCAATATGGACACTAGAAAACATTGAAGATATGTTTATAATATAATTTAATTTAAACAAGATAAATAACGTTGGTATCCCACTGTCATAAAAATTAAAGTAAGCTTTCATACTTCAGTCTTTTACATAAATAAAATAAATCGAAGCCACTCTCAAGACATGTAACTTAAGTGTCATTTTCCAGTAAAATTATTCATATAAGATCGTCTTCAAGCTTTGACCAATAAATATATGTTGTAACAACCACGTGACCTTGACTGCGACCAAGGACAGCGCTGAGCTAATTCTGTCAGAGCCAATGTTCGAACGCGGACTATCTTAAATCTGAAATTTTCATTTTCAGTGCCAACCTTGCAAAATATTAGGGAGATATAATTTTAGAAATATTACTGACACATCAAACTGCTTGTGTTCATAATGTAGTTCGAAATGTAATAACACACATCATCACTATACGTCTTCACTGAGAGGCTCAGAACCTACCCTAAATTAAGGGTGACTAAGCTAGAGTCAACCACTCTAGCTCACAGCATTTTTACTCCACATCTAGGAACTTCAACGATATGTGAAGGTCGCGTAAATGTACATATGGAATTTTTAAATCGACAAACACGTCACGTGATGTATTACTTAGAGTATGCGTGCTGAAGGCGGTGGGTTACGAGCCACTGGCGCAGCACGAGTCGCTGCTGCAGCAGTAACGCCGCGCGCCGCAGCCGCCGCTCCTCCGCCGCCGGCATCTCCGGCAGCCGCTCCAGCGCCTCGGGGCTACCACACCCTGACAGCGTCGATATACCTGATAACACAAGCATACACTCTTAAAATAGTTTTACACCAAACAATAAGTCAGTGGTTGGATGCACGCGTTCAGTCACTAAACACAATTTATAAGAAGTTGAATCATATTTATAGTCTGAACAAACACTTAAAGCCCTACAAATAAACGCGATATAAAGTTAAAGTTAGGAATAAACTGGATATAAGCAAAATTTGTACTAATATTTGCTTATACTCAGTTTATTCCTGAGTTTAACTTTATACTGCGTTTATTTGTAAGGCTGTCAGTAAGTAAACTTCCTTAGCTCTATAGCCCTTTTTTGGCTTGATTGTGCAAATTCTTCCAGATGGTCCATTTGTCGTTGTTTGAAAAAAAGCAATAAGCACCTAATACTTCGTAGCACATAATGCGAAGGGTATCAGACATGCTACGTTGTAGAGTGCTACGGCGTAGGATAGAAACGCATCTCTCACGATTGCGACCTGGGGAACTAGCACGAATATTTACCAGTATCGTAACATATATTTCGTTCAGTCTGAAAAGTTATTAAATAACTGCGTTCATAATTTAAATTACGGCGATGTTTAATAAAATAATTGTTAGACAATGTTTATTGCATGTTAATTTAATTATAACGCCAACGTACGATGTTTCTCTAACAATTTATTACAATTAGAAGGACGGCGGCATTTGTTGTCAGCGCGTTGCTAAGCAACCGCTCCGACCTCGCCTTTATAGCACAAACTTATTCCATTTATTTAGTTGACCTTTGGAATTAAATAGTGTTTAACGGTGTACGAAAATGGTAACACTCTTAATCAAATCATATATACATTTACTAAAATGACCGCTTCCTTTTTACAATACGATCAGTTATCATTTTCTTGTTTTACTCTGTAGTTATTAAATCGACCAAATCTTTGCCGAAAGTTCATACTTTAAGTGCAAAAAATATTCCTATTGGAAACTTTGAAACACTCTATACTATCTATCTATACTATTATAATAAAGTTTACACTTTTTTGTTGCCTAAGATGTAAGCAATTACAGCATATTTTTGAATAACTCTTTTTTTAATAAAAAGCCCTACACTTACGTCTCGCTTTAGACTATAATTTTGATCCCATTAAACTTAGGGGGTAAATATTTTGGATAAAAACCTAATGTGGGAAAGAGACCATAAGTTGCTGCCAACATCAAAGAAACAAGGATGCCATAGTCATGTCATTTTGACATTTGCAATTGATAATTTGACACATGTAAACAATAAAGTAAAATTTTCACAATTTTATGCGTAGATCGCAGGGGAACAGATAGTATAATCATAAAATCGCTGCAAAGAAAACTACCCTAATTCGGTTAAATATAACGTCCATAAATATTTATATATTGCCCTAATTGCAAGCATCATTAGGGATGTTTTAGCCACACCTTCGTTAGCCCCATTAAACATTTATCCAATAAGGATAATTACACGCTACATCTACATAAGTATAATTACCAAGTTGATTTTGACCTTCTAAAACCCACATAATCAGTATAAACTGAATAGTCAAAAATTTTTAAAATTGCGCGTATGTAGGCAAAATTTTAACTATATCAACACTTCGATGTTACATACGATACGAACATACGACTAACTATCTGTTTCTCAAGACTTTGTCCGCACGAATTATAATAAAAATATGGCCTATGTTAATCACTGATAACGTAGCTTTTTAATAGTGAAAGATTTTTTAAAATCAGCACAGTAGTTTTTGAGTTTTTTTAAAACATACAAAAATCCAAATATACAAATTTTTTCTCTTTATAACATTAGTATATATGTAGAATAAATTATGTCCATTATCTTAATGGTGGTTTTACTTAAGTATTCTTTTATCTATAAGCAAAGAAAGCAAACAGACTCCAATTTTCGTCACGCGATTTTGAGCTAAACTATTTAACTACGTCGTAGTCTTTGACTCCAATAATTAAACAAAAAAGTGGGATCCACCTGCAAGCACTGCTGCTGTTTGGATAAAAAAAGAATTATCAAAATCGGTCCACTAGCGGCGGAGTTATGCCGTAACACACATAAAAAAAACATATACAGACGAATTGAGTACCTCCTTCTTTTGGGTAGTCGGTTAGAAATACTGTTAGTTCAATAGTTGCGGTGAAGCAGTTATATGTTCGTTTCATTAAACAGTTTATTAACATCTATAAAAGTAGCAATTCGTAGAAGATAGTTATTTAAGTACTATCTTTCGCTCGCGACTCTGTTCGATTGGTATTAAAAAAAACACAACTGAGTAGCCTATGTGTTCTTCCAGACTATCCTCTACGTCTATGGCGAGTTTCATCGAAATCCGTTCAGCCGTTTAGGCTACAAACTGTAATAAACATCCATCCATCTAAACTTTCGCATTTATAATATTAGTATGATAGCTATGCATATAAAGTTGACATGCTTTAATGGTGCTAGAGTTTGACGATAGAAGGCGTGTCTGTAGCCTGTAGCAACGGAAGCTTTCGTGCCGCACGCAAGCTTTATTTCGGATGACACAGTAGATAATGTATTTGCATATATTTATTCACCAAAATGTTTTTGTATCTCTTGCATACATATGCATACATACATATACATTGCGTCACATATGACTATTATGTTACCAATGTTACTTAAGTAAAAATACCCTAAGGGACGATTAAGTTACAACTATGTAGATTTAAATATTACATGAACTGGTCTAACTGAAAAGTATATGAAGGTTTGTTGTCCACCTGTTGCTTAGGAGACGACTCTGGGACCTTGACACGTCTTGAACAAACAACTTAATATGGAAAAGTTATTATAAAAACATTTTCCATGAACTTTATTATACTTGTTGCGATTTGCGGCTACATTAACGGTGATTGATGGCTACCTCAATTTCAGTATAATTTCTAACATGAAGAAAACCTTAGTAAATAAGCTGTCAACTATCACTGAAGGAAAGTGTATCGAAATATAATCAAAGATCAGTTTGTTCAGATTGTAATAGTACATTTTCTTTTATTCAAGACTAGCTGTTCCCGTGCGGCTTCATCCGCATGAAATTGTGAAAATTTTATTTTAATGTCTACATATATCAAATTAACAATAGCAAATGTCAAAATGACATCACATGACAAACCTTGACAGTCTTGCTTCCTTGATGTTGGCAGCAACTTATGGTCTCTTTCCCACATTAGGGTTTTTATCCAAAATTCCGAAATCCCCCCAAATTTAATTACGTGCAAATATATATCCTAAAGCGTAACATAAGAGTAGGGCTTTTTATTAAAAAAATAATGATTTAAAAATATGCTGTAATTACTGACATCTTACGCCACAAAAGAGTGTGTTTACGCTTTATTATATTAGTATAGATTTTTTTATGTAAACCCCATGTAATAGAAACATTGTACAAATATACACGTCTTTTACGCTCACTCTAGAAATATAACGATTAAACCTTGTTTCAATGGTTTAAAGTTCAATTTCATGTGCGATTAAAATACATATGCGACTCCACTCTCAGCTGCGGCCTGTAACATGGGCCCTTACAAATGTAATTGGCACTGAACGTGCACAGTTCTTCAAAAATGTACGTCGGTTAACTACGTATCTTAATTGGTTTTTTTATAAGCTCTTGTGAGAAGTGATTGTATTCAGGTCGCTATCGTCGGGAACCGACAGCCAGCAGTCCCTAGCCGCAACGTATTCACAAAGCGTTATAAACCAGGGTACTGCATCCAGCAGAATATCGCACAGATTACCTAAGAGTAAGAGGCTACTCCTATATTTGTGTATACGATATTTCATTCTAGATTATATTCAGAAATATGTTTTTATATAATATAAGTTGGCAAACGAACAATCGGCCACCTGAATCCACTGAAATGTAAAGCGACCGCTGCCCGTAAACATCCGCAATTGCAGATGCTTTGCCTACCTTAATTAACGGAATAGGAGACGCACATAAAGAGGATATTTCCCCTTCCTATGCGTCTCCCCCACCGTAAAATCCACTTTTCCTTCCTATCCTTTCCTCTCAAAAAAAGGGGGAAAAGGAAAGGGACTAAAATTAAGCCTCCGGCACCACACTCATCAGACGAAACGCGGAATTGCTTCCACTTCAAAGCTTGTTTTATGTGTGGTCGTGGTATTACACCGGGCGAGCCGGCCCATTCGTGCGAGATGTTACAGCGGGCTCTACCACTGTTATTAAAAGGAGCCTTTTAGTACGGATAAAAAATGTATCGAACTGAATAACGATAATAAGACGTGATCAATAAATTAATGGCAGTTAGATGTAAGATTATTGAGACATTTTTAGCGTCATAACTTCGAAAGTATTTGGTGTTTAACATTCGTTCTTTAATGTACTTACTTATAGTCTAACGTCCACTTTTTGAATAACTAAAACTCTAGTCTTTTTTGAGCGGCAGAAAGTAAAAGATCTAAATCAAAAGGAACTAGTAAATCGTTTTAATATCTTTGAGTATTCTGTAATTACAAATACAAAATCATCAAACTGAATATTTCTACAATCTGTTACATAATCTCGTGACGAATGGGGTGAAAAAAATTGAATAAGGTAACACTTTATCATAAAAAATATTCTGCTTTATTTAAATTTAATTAAAAATGTGTTAACTATATTGACATTTGGCACATGACCTTTCGCATTTTAAATAAATGGGCCAGCATTCAGTCAGAGGGGTCTCGTTTGAGGTTCGAGCGGCGCTAGGGCTGCGCCACGAGCACCTCTCACCTCCCGGTGCGTCGCGACCTCTACTCGACAGCCAGCCTTAATTAATATCGGCACGTGAATTTAGGGTTGGGCCAACCCACAACATACCTGTCTGTATACATCGGGGTTTAACAAGATTTTTCTGGTTTTGGTCAGCTTCATAATTCCCATCTTATACCTACACCGGAGTAATTATAAAGTAAATTTTCTTGTAATTCCTAAGAAAGTAATGTAAGAATTTTAGTCGACCCCCGCAGCGGGTCGGCTTAATGTTTAATTTTCTACCTGTTACAAGAGTTCCCAACTTATGTTGTTCTTAACGAATGACGTTAGTTTTAGTTAAGATAAAGTTTCAATTGTTTGTGCTTGTTGGAGACGAAATCTTAACTTTGAGAAGATTTGTTAACAAATGGCAAGTACTTTAGTTATTTATTAAGGGTCTAGCGAGTTCGCCTGCTAAAGACATTTTGATCATCTGTTTGGTTGTCTAAAGCACGTAGTTGGAGCGCATATTTCGTGTGTTTCCTTACTTACAAAATGTACAAATTTATGGTGATATTCAAATGCGACCAGATGTAGTCCCGGTCACCTGTTGCAAGCGAATTAGGACACGGAAGTGTGCCGACGACCGCGCGAACCTGCCGCGCCCCCCGCTGGAGCCCGTTCCGGAGCACCCGCCCGACCCGCCGGGTGCTCCGCCCTGCCTGCTCTTAATGAAAACCCCGTTGTAATAGATTGGTTTGCACATGACAATTAAATTCCTCTATGAATGTTCAAAGTAAGAGACAAATTTTCATGTACGTTTAAGTTGGCAAATTTTATTTGTTTGCATGACAATGTGAAGGGTAAAGTACTCGTATGTACGATATTTCTTGCAATAGGAAAAGACATTTTAGGTGTTTACAGATGGGCAGATCGGTCCAACGATCGATCGATCCATTGGGATTTTTTACGATTGATTTTATGGATTCGATCAGCCCAACGAGAAAACACTCCCATTCTTTTTACTACAACTGATTCATTTGTAACTTACTTGATTTAATAATAAAAATTATTGTATTTTATTTATTTTTTTTATTATTTTTACATTCTCAGACACCTAATATTTAAGTATGGATAACTCAAAATGTTTTTCAAGCTTAGATTTTCCAAACTTACAAGCGCGAGAAAACTACATATTCCTGCGGTTCAGAGTACTAAAAATTTGAACAAAGCATTAGCTAGCCCTCCCATATTTAAGTACTAAGTACATAATTAGCCGGCCCACATTCATTACGGCTCGTTAGAATCAAAGATGGCGAGAGTAATTAAAAAGAGGAATACTCTGTGGAGGGAACGTGAGCAAACTTTTGTTCATACACCTCCGCCATTTTATGTGGAAAGGGTTAATTAAGCTTACTTCAAACCGCGTCGTGCAAGCCTTTTGTTGTCGTTTGCTTTGGACTTTCTCTTCTATCAGAGTATCGCCGACTTCCTACAAACTTTGTATTAATTAGTGCTGTAACATCAAGTATGTTAATTAACACATTGATCAACCATTAGGAAAAAATCAAATTCAATGCAAAATTCTTTATTTTGGAATAACAGAAATCCATATCATATTAATAACTTAGAAAAACTTAAAGAACGAAGGTCTTTAAAAATAAATAAATATTTTTTGGAGGCAACCCTTGCGGAATAGTCTGCACGATGCCTCGTACAGCCGCATTAATTGTAACTTAATACAAAATATATTAACAGAAAAAAGGACGGTGACAAAAAAATAAAAAGCAATGTTTAATCTCAACAAGCTGTCTTTACCCTGCAGAGATCGCAGAGACGTAAATCACACCTCCCCTGTCGTGCAGCGCTACACCTCTACATTGAGTATTAGCAAAAGATCTGAAAAAAATCTAGAGCAGGCCAAGAGTCTTAAATGAAATACTATTGGACGTAAAAATGAAAAGTATTAAAACCATTTTAAAATACGCTATGCTTTTACATTTAGTCATGAAATTATAATTCTCGTTTTACTAAAAGTTTTTTGCAGTGACGTTTCTAATATAATCTATACTATTATAATATAGCATAAACACACACTTTGTTGTCTAAGATGTCTGCAATTACAGCATATTTTTGAATAGTTATTTTTATCACTAAAAAGCTCTATACTTACGTCACGCTTTAGGCTATATATTTTCACGCTGGGGGTAAACATTTTGGTTAAAAACCTTAATGTGGGAAAGAGACCATAAGTTGCTGCCAACATCAAGGAAGCAAGATTGCTGTAGTAAAGTAATTGATATTTTGGCATTTGCAATTGAGAATTTGATAAATGTAAACAAAAATAACGTTTTTATACTTTCAGGCGAATAAATTCGTACGGGAACAGCTAGTATAGAGATAAAGTAGATAAGTATAAACAATATTAGTCGAAAAATCAAAAGTGTAATGAAAACTTTAAAAAGGAGTAGCATTTATTGATGATTTTTTCTTTTATCGATACGCATTGAGTAAGATAAAATTCAAAAATCTTCACATTTCGTCGTAAAACAATAAACACAATTAGCTCGAATACTTGTCACCGATGTGGGTGATGCATTTATTAGTTTGTTGTTTGTTGTCGATCTCAAAGTGCGGAGCCAAACGTATCAATAAAATTTTATAGGTGTTACTTTAATTTATGATATTTTTACGTGTGGTAATTGCATTCTATATTGGATTTAACGAAAGAATAAACGATTAAATAAAAAAAATTTCTCGTTGTTGGAGCCTAATGAAAAATTTTGTATATAATAATTTTTTAAGTACTATCTTCTTTCGAAAGCAGCGCTGTAATGTAATTTAGATATAATAGTAGAAGTCTTTCGAATTGTGGAAATGTTGAGCTGTCTTGGTCTGCTCGAAGGACCAGCGTCCAGCAGTATACAACTTTTGGTTGAATGATGACTAGCGAGGAGCCCACTTTTTAACTGATAGAAGACTTTAAAGGTAATCGTTGGCTGATCTACAGTAGTGATTTACAAAAAGAAGTTAGTTTATGAAATCTATTTAAATGTATACTTTGGCGAATAACGATGCAACAAAGACTTTCGCAACTTCAGCAAAGGATTTTAAGTGTTACGTGGATAATTCGTTGATATAATTCCGAAGACTCTTTGTCTTTTCACATAATAGTTTTACTTGCAGCACGCTTTATAGTTAAAAGTTGAACAATGTAATAATTACTACGAGTACCTGAAAATTGCGAAACGCCGGACACAGTTGAGAGGCCGGAGTTCCGGCTGTGTGAGGGATGGATCATGCCGATGGAGCATATCTCCGAGTCCTCGAACTGCCACATCTTTACTTGGATTGTCGTCAAATATCGCAAAGAGAACAGAGGTATCCAATCAATGCTCTAACCGAATATTACAATCCGTCGCTGCGGAAATCAGGATATCGATTCGTTCTTGAATGAAAGTCCTATTTATTTTTTAAGTTCTTAACTTTTTAAGGGTCCCAGTTATGTGTACCGTAATTTAGAGATCGTTTATCAAATGAGATGTGACCACGAGCATTGTAATAATGGACAGTGTTAGCGGACACGTCCGCGCGGCGCGGTGACAGCGGCGCGACTGTCCAATCTGGGGGTCGGGGTAGAGCGCACCCCCGTCTACTTTGTTTTTATTTGAGGGGTGGCGGGCGGCTCGTGACGTCACGGGTTACTGAATTGAAACTCGACATATCCCTTCATTTTGTCCTGTCCTTTTGAATGAAAATTAATGAAATTATATCGCTATTCAGTGTGATGTTCAAAGAAAACATCTTAAAGGAAAAAAAATGTGGAATATGGTCACACATATAGTGTAAGTATAAATTATAATAAATTGTTTTGATTTTCTGTAGTAATGTCAAAAATTTATTCAACATTGACTACATTTTTATGATATATCCAATAGGAGTTTACTTTTATGCACAATAAGAAATATATTACATAATGTGTAAGAACCTTTATTAAATAAAATATGCATATTATAATATTAACTAAATAATACAAAATTTATTGTATTAAATGATCACATCCACCTTAAGAAGCAATTAAACAAAATAAACTCAAAAAATTCAAAGCTAACAGCAAAACTATATCTGAAACAAATTTATTTTTTTATATTTCAAATAACAAAAGCTAAAAGTCTCAAATTGCATGTATAATATTTTCAAACACAATTCTACAATTTATTTAATTAAAATTTCTGTCAGCATATAGTGTCTTCATTGTGGAGATTGAACATCCTTAAACTCATTTTTAGAGTTACGCTTTAGTTTTACTACTTTACCACATAACAGTAACCTCCGGACCTGTCGTTCACAAGTATGTTAACTTTAACGTGGGTACTGACCCTCTGTATTACAGACGACAGAATCTCTTTTCTGATGATGAGTAACATTTTACACAAAGCTGTACATTTTTTAATGAATTTGAAGATTGAGAAAATATTCTCGATAAATCTCTTATCCATAGATAACATAGAGCCTGTATAAAAGCTGTTATATTTCTCGCAAAATGTACAGTTACGATTAAAATTAGGGCGTGCGTTTTGCAATGTTTTTATAGATATTCTTCTCTTTTAATTGAATTACAATACTTGGAACACGTGTCACATATACATGATTATTTAAAAAGATAAATAACTCACCATGTTCCTTAAATAACTTCTTGTAGTCTCCAAGATCATTTTGATCGAGCCACTCGTCCACTTGCGAGCTTTCGTCTTCAAATAAATGTCTCAAAACTGACTTAGCCACGTAAATAACTGATAATATAAAAAGAAACAATCCAAAATAGTGAAGCTGCCTGTACATTATTATTTCTTCAAGTCATAATAATATCACAAATTGGAAAAAAACATCGTAAAATATACACAGTGGGAAAATAGTCCACTTGACATCTTTTTTCGTGTTATTGAATTTGATTTTGACGGAACAGGCGAATGACTGCTGACATTTGTTGAGCGTTTCAATACACGCTGTAATCAAACTTCAAAGTGTATCTTACTTTTTAATCCACGAATTATTTTACCCAAAAAATATTAAAAGCACATATTTTGTTATTTTACAAATTACAACAAAAATTAAAAGATACAGGTATTCTTATTTTTAGTAGCCAAACCATAACCAACCGATTTTAAGAATGGCGCTTATCTGAATATTTTGACAGTGATGGTGTTAAATAAAAATGCAATATAAAAGTAACCATTTAATAATTATTTACAATGTAATGCAGGCGATATCACATTTCAAAGAAAAGAGTTATTGTTAACTTAGCAGAATATTTGTCGGTACGAATTCGACGGTCGCTGTGTCCTACACTTTATAAAAGTAATTTATAAATGTCAGAATTTACAGCAATTTAAAGTAATTTTTTTTCCCATGATTGTCCTTTTCGTAGCCTGAGAAAGTTTAATTGTTTAACTTTAAACAATTGAATTAAATTGTTATTATTGCTTTTTTTACGAGATTTACGCTTAACGAAATTAAAAGTCTGCATTTAAACTACTGACTTGTTTTGTTCTGAGCATTTTGATATATTCAGTCATCCACGTATAACCTTATTTATAGGTATATATTTATATACCTCGATAATATTTGTATATAATCACTAATTTACCTACATTTCGCCTAAAAATTTGGGTTACGGAATTTTTTTATTACAGAAAAAGAAAAAAATCGTATAATTTTTACAATAATTGGCATTGTATATTTGTATCATTCCATCTACGATAGTTGTCTGTAAGAGTATGCTGTGGTTCTCGTTTAAAGATATAATATATACCCATTTATATAGCATTATATCTTTTACCGATACAGTCTGGCAAAGTCGCGTAGCAGTCTCGTCATTTCCTTGCACTTTTCAGCTCTGAAACAAATGTTTATTATAAATTCTATTCTATCTTAATTATAATCTGTGTTTAGATACGCATTGTTTACAATTTTTTTTTGATTAAATATGATCATACAGACAGACATGGTCATAGCCACAGTGGTGCAGGGTTGGATGCTTGCCCACTATGACTCCTGCAAGGGACCTAACCAAACTTAAAAAAATACCTTATCTCCAGTAATTAATGTAATTCTGTAATTCACATTGGACATTCGACACAAAAAATGCGATCAATACAAAACATCGCGATTTGATTAATGTTTTCGTAAGCAATAAGAAAATGTTTTAACATGCAAATACAGAGTGCTATGGTGAGTGACTTTTTTGTATAAAAATATGGATCGCGGGTACAGTTTTCTATTTAAGAGTTATGTTCCATCGTGAGTCTGTGGTTCAAGACAAGCGCTCAAGTGTTTTGGTAGCTTGTCTGTATATTTAAGTATGGTGGCGGTTACCTGAGCGCGTACTGGTGGAACTGGCAGCACTGGTTGTCGGTGGGCG